GATCTAGCTTACCTTTCTCTCTTAGCAAATATGTGCTTTAATGGGATCTTAGAAAATTAGCATTGGAAAGAACCTGGGCCTCATCTGGCACCATCTTCTCATTTCCCAAACAAAGAAACTGAGACCCAGTTGCTTTGCTTTGAAAGCAAAGCAACTTTTAAAAGCAAAGCATAAGGCAAAACAACCCCTGATCTCTCCAGCAAACCGCTAGGGCTTTGGTTTGAGTGAAGTACTTTGGTTCATGAAGAGTAATTAATAATTACGGAAAACAGGGAGAAACAAGCACTACAAAAATATAATCTTCTACAAAAATCATAAAATAGTCCTAGTATATGTTTTCATATATGGCCTTCTTCTTAAAAATATCAAAGTCATAACAATATAACGCCTTTACCAATAGTACGTTTCTGAATTATCTAGCAGGAATGTAAATATTTCCCCTGCCTCTCTCTATAATGATAGAATAGCAAAACAGTAATAAGCTCAGATAGTGCTGATAGAAATCATTTAACTGATAAAGAAATGAGAAAGGAGGGGAAGAATTTGAAAACAGCTCTTTAATTTTGTTTGAAGGCATTTTCCTTATGAAAATTAGTATTTCTCCAGAGTGGAATAATTTCCTATTTAAAGCTTCAGTTGACTTGGCCTGGTTATAATGTGAAAGAGATTCAGACTGCTTATTGAAGGGGATTGCACAAAACCAAATCCAAACAAAGCAGAATTCCCTTCGAATTGTTCCATCCAATTTCCTTGGTCCAGATGGCTTCAATCGCCAGCCAGAGACTCCACCCACACCTACCCACTCCCGCTGTGCACTGGCCCTGGACAAATACTAATGACCCTCAGCTGTTCTGGCTCCCAGACTCACTTTCTCTTCCTGCCTGGCCACCCAACCTCCTATCTCCTAGGAGGAAGGAAAGAGGGAAAGGGAGACACTTAGGAAAAAAAGTCATACCTTTGGGTAAATAAGATTTATATTAGTGAATCAGTTTCTTATTGCTGCTGTAACAAATTACCCCACACATAATGGCTTAAAACAACACACACTTATATTCTGGAGGTCAGAAATCCAACATTGTCTTAGGGAGCTAAACTCATGATGTCAATGGGGCAGCATTCCTTCTAAAGGTTCTAGGGGAAAATGTGTTCCTTCCCTTTACTAGCTTCTGGATGCTGCAGACATTCCTTGGCTCATGGTCACCTCATCCTGATCTCTGCTTCTGTCATTACATCTCCTCCTCTGACTCTGATGCTCCTGCCTCCCTCCTACAAGGATCCTTGTGATTTTACCGGGCCACTCAGATAAATTTCTGCAGGATAATTTCTGCATCTCAAGATCCTTGATTTCATCATATATGCAAAGTTCCTAATCTAACATATTCACAGGTCTTAAGATTAGGAGGTGGACATTATTCTCTTTGTTCTTTCTCTCACATCAGATATTGCCTAATATCATCTAACATCCAATATCAGGTACTACAAAGCTATACCTATGTTAATACATAAAATCATATACGCACACAAACATATACATGTACTGAATAGGATGAGATAACAAGTGTATTATACCTGAAATAAAAGTCACAGAGTAATATCCAAGATTATTGTATCAGGCTTCTTACAACTAATTTCCAGTACTTTGTTTATGGCAAAATATTTAAAAAAAAAAAAAAAAGCACACTAGAGCTGATGGCCTGTGAAGGGCTTGCTCACCACTCACCTCCATATACTGCCCAGGGCTTTTCACCACTAAAAAAAGACCAAAGCCTAAATAATTTAGTAGTGCTGTCAGTGGAGCTCTGTATCATTACCAGGTGCCAGGAGCTCTGTATCATTACCATGGCAGCATGTCACGTGTGTTTGCCTTGGAGTGAGACAGCACCAAAGCTGCCAGCAATAGACAGAGTAGGTCCCAGGAAAGGTAGGGGTCTTCAGACAGAGAAGGGGTCACATTTATAAAACGCCTCCCACCCAGAGTGATTAGGGGAGAACTCACACAGGGTCTCTGGCAGTATCTTCAGTGGGACTAAGGAGGTGCAGTGAGAGAATACAACCAAGTCACATGACACTTTTAAGTTAAAGTGAGAAAAGGATGGGTAGAAGGAACCACAAGGAAAATGTTGGCAGGTAACAAGAGTTAAGGATAAAGGCAAAGAGGAGATGTTAATTTAGAACCTATTTGTTTCATTCAATTCAAATAGAAGCAATCTGATGATAAATTTTTCATCTTCTTTCCTGCAAATCACCACCTGGCCACTTCTGTACTTATCAGCTTGGCCTTCTACCCCACATAAAGGTTCAACTGTCCATACTATACCAACACCTTCCCACCTACCTAAGGATTTTCTTCCTGCAAATATCCCTTATCTCCCAAATCATTGATTTTTTTCCCTTCTGCTCATTTTCATCATCATAAAACCATGTTATAACACCTCCCATCTTTTAAAAGACCCTCCTTTTATCCCACAAACTAACCATGCAACTGCTCTATTTATCTGATCCTCATTCTACTCCTCAGAAAAAGCTTCCATATTCAGTCATCACTTTATCTCACACCGTCTCTTGAACCCATTTCAAGCCAACTTTTGTACCCACCCTCCATAAACCCCATTTGTCAAGGGCCTCAATACTGCCATATAGTAAATCTGGTGGTCTAGGCATAGAGCTCATTTTTCTCAGCATCTTAGCAACAATGACACAACTGAGCACTCCCTTCTCGAAATGCTTTCTTCAGCAGGCTCCTGGATGAAACCCTCTCCTGGTTTTCCTCCTACTTTACCTGGTCTTTCTTTCCCAATTTCCTTGGCTGCATCCTCATCCTCTTTTTCCTCTGAAGACAGCCTGAGGTTCAGTCCATTGCCCTCTTCCCTTTTCCACTTATCTGTGATTACTCTCTAAATGATCTCATCCACTCTGGTGGCTTTAGATAGGTCAATCTACATGCCAAGGAGTCCAAACTGTGTATTTTCATTCTCAAATATATTCTTGAACTCAAGATTCCTCTCTCCAGCATCCTAGGAGACACGAGGGGCATCCCAGAAGACAACAAGGCATCCTCCCCCACTGCTGTCCAGCTCAGTAAGCTGTTCTCACAGAGATCCTCTGAGTTTTCCCTGACTCTTTCTCTCATGCCCCACATCTAATTTGACACACTTCTGGCCAGCTTTACATTAAAAAATAATCCAGAATACGACAACTTATCTTCCCTTTCACCACATTGCTCTAGTCCAAGACACTTTTACTTCTCCCTTAGAACTGTGAAATAACCTGCTTCCACTCTTGCCCTACATATTCTACTCTCCACCTGATATTTATATGTATCTTTCTAAAACATAATCCAGGTCAAGTCACTTCCTATCCCAAAATTCCCAAAAGCATTGCCATCATATGTAGAATGTATTCAGGGGGGTCTGTAGAGCAGTGCTGCCCCAATCACCCAGCAGCTCCTCAGCTCTCCACAGCTTCGTTTGGTCACCATCTTGTGCCCTCTTCAGACTCCCTTCTTTGACAGCCTCTCTCTAGAGAGGTTCACCTGTATATTTAACACTTTTCCCACACAACATTGGCATAAAAGGCTGCAATACATCACTACTTCTTCAAAAGTTGGCTGTATTTTTGTATTAAGTTTGTCAGCAAACCTCTCTCAGGGACTAACAAGCTCCTGTATAGTGATGGTTGGGGTACTGATGGTTTAACCATTAGGCTGTGGTTCCTTCATTCCTTAAACATTACTGACTCACAATACAAACCTTTCCATCTTTCATGGCAAGAGGTTAATGTCTCATGATAAAGAAAATCCCTTAGGGGTGCCTGGGTGCTTCAGTCGGTTAAGCATCCAACTCTTGATTTCGTCTCAGGTCATGATCCCAGGGTTGTGAGATCAAGCTCTGCATCGGGCTCCACACTGGGCATGGAGCCTATTTAAGATACTCTCCTTCTCTGCCCCTCCCCATTTTCCCTCTTAAAAAAAAAAAGACTCTTAGGAGATACTTTTTTGGTGACAATTATTTAACATTTAAAGGCAAATTCCTAATGTTTATTTACTGTTATACATATGTTGAGAGCTGAACTATCTGAAAATATTTGCCTAGAATGCCTTCAAGTAGATTTGCTTTATGTTTCCTTAATTCAAAAATGTTCCTAAAGTTCTCTTGAAACTTAGAGGATATTAGTTTTTTCAGATTATAAGTATATTCCAGTGCATATATGTCCTTAGGAAATATCTCTTTTAAAAAGATTTTTTTTGAAAACTTTCATAGACAAAAAGGGAAAAGATAAAAGATTTCTGAACCTAGCTATTCATCAATACTCACTGGACAACTTCTTAAATGTAACAAAGATGTATGCAATTTTGGAGTAACTCGCCTATTAAGTGACTAGAACGTTGATTCTATTGACCAAGCCAGGCTTAATGTTCTCTTCTGCTTAACTAAACTTCAGACAGACTTCTTCCTGATTCTAAGCCCCTGATCTCCCTTTTCTTAGAGCATTCACTCCAGAAAATTTGTAATTATAAATTCTTTCTCTGACCCTTTGAGTGGCAAACCTTTTTAAAAGCTTCTTGTCAGTTTTACAACTAGCAAGGAATGTCTTTCTCAAGGACCTAGGAGCCATCCCTTTGAAATACAATCATCCAGAAAGATAAGTACCCAGATCTTCCAGTCTCTGTGGGATGGTAGTACCCTAACTTTGGTGAGTGCCAATTAGCAAAGACAGATGGCCTAATCACAGAGGAAAATGTGCCAAACTCAGGATAACTCAATTTGCTCCATCCCATTGATCAACAGCCTAAAGTCCTCCAGTACTTTTCCACTAACTCACGCCAGTACTCAAGAACCCTCCATTTCTTTGTTTCAGTGAGTGGAGTTCAATCTCTCCCTATTACAGTAGTCTTAAGTAAAGTCTCCCTTGCCTGTTTAACTTAGCCCAGTGCAATTTCTACTTTGACACCATAATCCCAGTACTGGAGATGACTAAGCTTTCAGTACTCACAGGCTTACCATCTTGACCAGATTGTCCAGGGTAGCCAGGGTTTCCAGGCTGTCCAGGTTCACCCTAGAAAGGAAAAAAAAAAAATTCTCAGTCCAAAACAACCACCCACACTGCTGCTGTCAGAGCCCTTCAAGGTTCAAGCTAATTCCATGATTTGTAGCTCTTTGTATATTTAAGAAGAAGAAAGAAGAAAGAAGGAGGAAGAAGAAGGAAGAAGAACACAACAACAGACATCCCAAAATGGGGTTAGAAAAGTAATGGCATATTTTAAATGCCCACTTTACCAAATAAAGGCTTTTTATTATATAAAATTTTCAATGATTTATTTATGTGAGCACACCAGGTATAACAAGTAAAGTACTCTTCACCAATGTAAAATGTCAATATTAATGTCAGGATACATTTTTAGAATTCTGAACTGAAGTGTTGTAGCAAATATGGTCTCAATGCCAGCCATTTTTCTCTCATAATTCTCTTCTATTTAGACTTAATTCTATTCTCAACATTACACAACAGATATCAATGACCTATGATGTAATAATTCAATTTGCAATTATTTATTTAAAAAAAAAGTCCACAGGCTATATGATCTTACACACAGGACTCAAGTTTAAAGCTGCATGACAGTCATTTCTTTTATTCTAGTTGATGTGTCTCTTTGCCTATATTTATAACTTTATTTAACATAATGTTAAAATTTTTAAATCTGAGTATTTATATGAGAGCGAGGCCCAAGCCAGACAACTCTGCCCAACCCCCATAGTCCTTGAACACAGGGACTAAGAAATGAAGAAATGACCTTTGCAAACCCCCCCCAAACCAAGGATGTCCAAAGAACATTAAACCATACAATACGACAATTAGCCCAGGCACATTCTATGAAACTCTAGTATGTTGCCCAATGGCCAATACTGACCGTTCAGATAGTCACCACCCATGAAAAAAGGCAATGAAAGCAACATTTTTTGTGAGGTGAGGGTGTTGTATAATTTAATTCTAAAAAATACTTCAAAATTAATATCATATTAATCTATTGCTGAATCCATGAGATCCACATGGGGCATCTTGCTTAAAAACATGAAGTCTCAGCCATCAGTACCAGTAAACTTCTGCAGAGAGGCAAGGCAGCTGATTTCAGTCAAGTCATTATTTACATTAAGAACTCATTCACACAGGACCCCAAAAATTATAAATTAACTAAACACCAATACTAAGGGTACTTTCACAGAGCCAAATTTGAAGATCTGAAATACTACTTCAGGCTACTGGCTACGGAGAGTTGTTCCTGAAACATAACAGGAAAATTGGAAAGAACTATGTTAACTCTATTAAGTGGCCAATGAAGGGGGGTTGGGCTTTTCACTTAGGAGCTGCCCAAGAGACAAAGCATGGGGAAGGGCTGAGAAGAAAGGAAATGTTATTTTTAAAAGAAATAGAGAGGGCGCCTGGGTGGCTCAGTTGGTTAAGCGACTGCCTTCGGCTCAGGTCATGATCCTGGAGTCCTGGGATCGAGTCCCGCATCGGGCTCC